TTTTGGGTTTTTATACTTTTATCTGATGCATATACATGTATTTATGCTGTATAGAAAGTTTGAGGTGATTCCGATTAAATTTAATTTTTTGTGAATTTTTAAAGTTGCTCCAAAATTGGATCAAAGTCCCTGTACTATTATAGTACAGGGATGTTGGACAAATCTCATCAAAATTGTGAAGGAGAGAATTTTGGGTTTTTATAATTTTATCTGATACATATTACATGTACTTATGCTGTATAGAAAGTTTGAGGTGATTTTGATCAAATTTGAATTTTTTATGAATTTTTGAAGTTGCTTCGAAATTGGGTCAAAGTCACTGTACTATAGTACAGGTTCTTGGGCCAAATTTTGCCAAAATTAAAAAGTGGAGAATTCTGGGTTTTATAATTTTATTTGATGCATATACATGTACTTATGTTGCATAGAAAATTGATGAAGTTATTTTAATAGTTATTGAATGTTTATAGGTTGATTATGATTACATTGATACTAATAGCACTGAAGATAATGTTGAAATCAATCACGAGGTAACTATACACTTTACATATAATCTTTAAACTCCATTCTCTGCCTCTTTCTCTCTCCCTTTAGTTCTCAATGGCTGAAGTTGAATTAAATGACATAATATCTTCATTTGAGGCTAACAATTGTCAGACTATTCCTAATAAACTGTTAGAGTATCAAATGTTCAATCAGCCTTACTATACTGGAAGGATACTGAGATTATTATTAGCTCCTAGACAAGTAAGAAAAGAAGAGAGATTTTACTGTTAATTTTGCTATATCACATGTATATATTATTATTGATATGTTATTGTTAATTGTTATTGTTGATATATTACTGTTAATGTTTTTGAATATTTTAATGATTATTTTTATTTTTGGACAGGTTCCTTCACCTCCTGATACAAGGGAAAGACTCATTGAAGCACTTAAGAAGTACTAAACAACATACATGTACATGTAGACGTACATGTACATGTACAATACATAGTGTACATTAATAAATGTACATACAGGTACATGTACATGTATAATTAATGTTATGTTGTTATTTTGTTGTTGTTTTTTAGGAGAGATAAAAGCCACCAGTCTATGTTTGCTAAATATGAAAGAGAATGTAAAAAGTTAAACAACTCAACTAGTAATGGCAAAGGTACATGTACATGTATAAATTATTATTATTTATTTATTTATTTATTTATTATTCTATTAGGATCTAGCTCCAGTAAGATGTTGCTGATGTATTCTCCATTAGAAGAGAAGCTGGAGAGACTGAAGAGACACTATGAGGACAATGAAGGTAAGGGATAGAGAGAAGAGGATGAGCTATGGATGATGGATTATTATAATTATTGTATTTTTTCTAGATCAATTAGGTCCAATTTTGTCTCAAGTATCCACTGCGATTAATCAAGTAGTCAATGACATTAAGAAATCAATCATTAATAATAATGATAAATCATCGAAGAAACACAATGGAGACATATGCAGTCCAGGACTGAAGGAATGGGAAATACAGGTATGAAGTATGGGAGTATGGGAATGAAAATTTTAGGTGACTATTGAATTTTTTTCAGGTGGTTGAGTTACTATTGAAGTACATTACTGAAATTATTGTTAAAATATCATTACCACTCCATGAAAGTGAAGCTGACATTACTGATAAGCAGTGAGTAGTGACCAATTGATCATGTGATCATCATGTGAGTGACATTAGGTTTGTGCTGGTTGATTTATTTGTGAAGATGTTATCAAGCCACACTGAGCTACACTGGCCACTAGTAATGATGGTTTATGAACTATTACATGATAAAGTAATGGCAATTATGATATTAGTAATACTGTATAGTGGGAAATTTTGGAGGGACTAAAATTTGGCGAATTGCTAAATTTGGGTGATTGACAAATTTTAATTTGGCAAATTTGTGGCCATGTGCCATTGAGCATGCGTATAATGGCTCAAAATGGCGGATTTTATTTTGGCAAATTGCTATCTAAACACCAAATT